AGAAAAAAGCTTCCAGGTTTGTCTGCATAAACCTGGTGATGTACACAGTAAAATTATTTCCCTTTCAGGCAAATGGGCTGAGCTGAGTGAAGGAAAAGTACTGTGTTTCACAGGCTCATTCTAATTCATTTTTCCAGGGATCTCTGTTACCCTTACCCCAGACAACCTTCTGCCTCTGACATGGGAAGAGATATTTTCCAGAGGAGCTTGGCTGTCCTCTTTAATTCTAACATTTCGGATTAAAGATGTTCAAAATATTTCATTTATCTAACTAAATTTATTTGCCCAGACTTTTTTTTTTTGGCCAAAATAGACCATATCAGCCAAATTTTAATATTCTCTGTAAAAAAAAAAAGAAAAAAAACAGAACAGAACTGCTCTGTATGTCTCTGACCTTTAAAACATCAAGGGAGTGCTAGCTAAAATTTAATAAAATGCATTGAGTTGAATAAAAATAAAGCCCACGGACACAGTTTTATAAATGCTAGTTATGTCTTTCTTTCAGTCTTAATCTTTATATTGAAACATTCACAATTGTTACAGGGTTTTTTCTGACTATATATTTTGCTATTATATTTTTTTAGTAATTTTCCCTTAAATTCCATTTAGCTTAAACATTAGCATAATATCATACTAGCTATCTTTGTAAAATTTCATTAACAAATATTTACCCAGCATGTTTTCTTTCTTTCTTTTTTTTACATTTTATAGCTTTTTAAAATTGTTTTTCAAGTACAGTTTTCTCCATTTTGCCTCCATCCCACCCACTCTCATCTCCCACCCTCCATTCTACCCACCTTTGGCTTTGTCCATGTGTCCTTCATACATGTTCCTTGATGACCCCTCCCTTCTTTCCCTTGTTGTCCACCTCCCACACCCCTCTTGTTACCGTAGAATAAAGAACAGGCTAATGGTGTATGTTTTCTTTAATCTCTGCATATCTGTATCATTTTGTTTTATATATGTCTCTTGAAAGAAGAATATGGTTAAACTTGACTTTTATTCATTCCAGTAGCCTCTGTCTTAAACTAATGGGTAAATATTATGTAATTACTCATATTTCAACTAATATCTCCATCTCACACTGTGTTTTATCATCCTTTGTTGTTTTCTTCCTCCTATCTTCTATGAAGTTGATAGAATTATATTTATATTATTTTTATAATTACATTTAAATATGTAATATATACACCAATATGTAATATATACACCAAACTATAAATTCAGTGTATTTGACTATTCAGAAGGATGTTTTTGCTGTACTAAAATCATGCCCCCTATTTAGTTACATGTGTAAACTATTGTTAATTTTATTTACTATTTTATTAATCCCTGTATTTATTGTTGTTTTGTTTCTGTCTCATGTCTTTTCTTTCAGTTTTTCTTTTTTTCTTGATATGATATCAACTTTAACAGTGAAGGGCTGTGATTGGTGAAGATCTATGTCTTTATATGTTTGAAAATGTTTCTATTTTGTATTTGACCTTGAATGATAGTCTAGATGGGTATAAAATCTAAAGATGAAAAATTACTTCCATCAATATTCAAAGGCCACTGTTTTATGACATCTATTGCTGATGAGAAGTCACTCCTTCAATTTTATTTTGTGTGTGTGTGTGTTTTACTTTTAAAAAAATTAGAATGAAATTGGATAATAAAACCATGCAGGTTTCAAGTGTATAATTCAACAAAACACTCTCTGCACCATGCATCGTGTGCCCACAGACCAAAGCAAAGTGCCTTTCCATACCTATCTTCTCCCCATAAAACACCTCACTTCTTTCCCTCTGGCCATGATCACACTGTTCTCTGTGTCTGTGTGTAAACAAATGGAATTTATTAATATAAATTCTCCTTTATTCTTACACATTTAAACTTCAGTCACCTTCAAAGTACTCTCTATTTGATGCAATACACCTACTGAGACTTTTTTCCACTGCTCAAAACAGTTTTTGAACTTGTTGATTTTGATGCCTTTTAGTGCTTCTGCTGCTTTTTGTTTCACCTCTTCCACAGTAGCAAAACATTTCCCTTTAAGAACTTCTTTTATCTGGGGAAATAAAAATCAGTCACCCAGGGTGAGATCTGGCAAATAGGGAGGGTGGGGCACAGGAGTCATGCTGTTTTTGTTCAAAAATTGCTGAACACTCAGTGCAGTGTGGGCAGGTGGGCTTGTAAATCACCCATCATGAAATGGGCAAATGTGTTGAAGGAGTCTTTAAAAAGAATTCCCCAAAGCCCAATCCAGCCTCTCACACCACCACCAGCTGGCACACGGATCTAGATGGCTTCCTAGAACAATCACCTAGTGGGGAATGCCTGTATTAGAAGGGGCCTGCCCTCCAGAAGATAATTCTTGTTTTGGGGGGATATATATGTATGTAAAAACATATACATTATGGGGTTTTTTGCTTATTCCTTACACCTTCTTTTATCCAGTCCCTGGAAACCCCCCTCCATTCGACAGCTGTCGGTCTATTCCATGTATCTGTGACTGTGTTTATTTGTTCATCTGTTTGTTTTATGTTTCTGATATTCTGTTCTTGCTCTGATGTCAAGTCCTAGATTTATTTTTGTTTTCCTTCGTTAGCATTCGGTAGGTACTTTCAGCCTGAGGATACGAGTCTTTAATTCTGGAAAGCTTTTAGCCATGAGCTCCATCAGTTCGGCCACCGTGTATCTGAGCTCTGGCATTCTAGGCTGCTGTCCTCTGGTACCCTGCAGGCCATCACGCTCCCTTCATGTCCAGACTCTTGTTTAAATTACTTCTTAACCTTTTAACTTTAATAACATCTTTTATTGACAAGTTTTATTGATTTTTAGTCCTATCTATACATGAGTTTGTTGAATTTCTGCCTGATTTTATTTCATATTTTAAAAAATCTTATAAATACTATTTCTGTATTTATCCCTTTGAGTGTTCTAAACATAAGCTAATGTTAATGTGTTCCTCAAACTGATACTGTTTTAATTCTTAAACTTAATTCATGTTAATTATTGATTTTGTTTTTGTTTTCTTATTATCAAATGTCTTTGTGGGCTTCATAAACTAAAAGATAAATAAATAAAAATAAAAATAGATGCCTTTTGAAGCCAATAGATTTGTAAGATCATTTTGAAGTATTTCTTTGTTCCATTTTTAGTTCTCCCTTGTTCTGTGTCCCAGGTTCCTATCCACACCTCTGGGGGCCGCCCTCAGCCCGCATTTACCTGCCAGCTCTCACCCTCAGGGTCAGGTCTTACATTATCATTCAGTCCTCTTGCTCAGTGAGGTGATCTCAGGCCCCCTCCCTCAGTCAACAGGGAGTTTCCTGAGGCCCCTGATCACCCCACTGTGTCTGTGTTCTCCCTTGGTCTACAACTCTCTTTGCTGGCAGTTTTTCATAGCTTCTTCTTGTAGAGGATGGCTTACTGCCTCAGCCTCAGGCTTCAAGCACCAAACCTGGTCCTGACCCCACTTCCAGCGGAAAGCTTTAGTCCTGCTGCTTCTGCAGGACTGAACTGCCCCTGCCCACTTCCGGTCCCCAAGCTCAGCATGTCCATGTCTCTAGTCTAATCATAGTTTGACATTGTTGTTCCCTATCTAGTCAAGGGGGAGGTTTATATTGAATGTTAAGCCTGCTGTGGCTGTTCACTCTCTTCATCAATCATTGCTATATGCTCGGAGCATATTAGTACTTAAATGTGTAAATTTACTGTACTTCCTGTTCATTTACAAGAACAAAAATGAACATTCACTAAATACTTATGTACCAGGCATTGTACTAAATATTTTCATACCTTACCTTCTTTAATTCTTAAAATACATCAGTGAGGTCAGTGCTAGTCTGTATCCCCATTTTATGCAAGAAGCAATCAACACTCAAGGGTTTAAATAACCTGTTCTGTGACGTATTTTGGCAAGTAGCAAAACAGGACTAGAATCCAAGTATGTCTCACTCCAAAGCCAGAGCTCTTGACCTTAAAATACAGTAAGGATAAGAAAATGCTTCTTGATACCACCTGGTGTTACTGGCTTTATGACCCTGGAGAGGAGCCCATGGGGGAGGGAGGGCGTGGGCCGCTCTCTGTGGCGCTGTTTCGGGTGAGGGTTACGTCACTACCTGAGCAACCTTGGGAAGTCACTGAAGCAACCTGGGTCTTTATTTTCTCTCTACATGAGGTTAGTAACAGTTGATTTTTTGCTCTGTTTTCTTATGAAGGTAAAAAAATAATGGATAGAAAACATCTTTTTAAAACATGAAATATATATTTTATGCTATTTTATATTGATTTCTAGCACCTTTTTCCCTATTGACACCAAGAGGTGTCATAAGCAAAGCTTATATTCCTCTCCCGAAGTAGATCGCCTTTCACTTGCCCACGCGAGAGCTTGTTCGTTATTTCTCTGCCCGCACATGAAACCTCATGAGATCTTCCATGGCTTATCCCTGTCACTTTGACATTCCACTTCCACCTTTAATTTTGTAGACCTCGCTGGGTACTCTCCTACCCAATTCACTTATAAAACTATTAAATAAACTCATAAAATTCTTCCATGTGGAGAAGAAGCAGCTATTTCCTTCTACATTTTACTTCCTACTAAACCAATCCTTAATCTACAGCAAAACAAATACTGCCCCCACTTCCCTCCCTGACTGGGGAACTAATCTTGACTGTGCCACAGTTTCCCATCAGCACCCCTCCACTTATCAAGGGGGAAACACGATGCATGGAAAGACCAGATTGCAAAGCCACCCCCTCCATGGACACCCACAAGTAGTCTGACTGCAGCATCCTTGAGCTGCAGTCTCCTCCTCTTTAAAGTGAAGGTAGCCTATCAGTCCCAAAGAAAGGATGCAATGCCTTTATAATACCACGTATACCAAATGCCAAGCACAGTATCGGATACATAATAAGATTTCAATAAATACAAATTATCTTTATTGATATCGGAAGTTCAAAAGCATTTATTTGAAATCGTTTGTAAAAAACACATATGCAAAGTAGATTGACCATACTCCAGTGATGCAAATAACTTACTTTTTCATTTGTTTTGCACTGTCAGGCTTAATAAAAGCAGCAACATGCCATGATGCTCCATGTTGATACATAATAATGACTCATGTCAAACTCCAACAAGCATGGAGGCTTCATTATCCACATAAGTGATGGGCCTTTTAAATCCACTCTGAAGCCTTTGCAAGGAAAAAAAGTGCAGGGTCTTGAGTAATGCTGGTGAGCGTGACAAGGCCTGCAGAAGCGTTAAGCCTGGCCCTGAGCCCCTCGGAGCCGTCCTTTACAAACCCCGAGCAAGCTGTTTGTGTGACTCATTGCAATGCGCTGTCCAGCCAAATGCAATTCTGTCCATGAGAAATCACTGACCTGCTCCACTCGAGAGTGGCAAGTCATTGGGAATGCATTTCACGTCCCTTTGCCATCGTGTTTTATAACCTGTGGCTCCATCGGTACTAGACAGAGAGTTTTAACATAAATAGAACTTTTAAGGAATCTCTGGCTTGAGACTGCTAAGGCTGAATAAATGCAGGTGTGTATGTGTGTGTGTGCCCAAGTAATTAGGGTAATGCAAATAACTAGGGAGATGGGAAAGACAGGAGGGCGGGAGGGGAGTGTTGAAGGGAGCAGCAGGGAGTCTGACTGCTGTCTCCACTTACTTCCTTCTTAAAGGAGCTTACCCATCACCACGTATGTGCTACCTTGCTGACTACATCTTTCCAGAAAGCTACCCTGTCAGGTTCAATAAAGCAACAGTATTCTCTGACTTCAGTGTTGACAGGTAATGATGACTCATTTCAAACTCCAACAAACATGCGAGCTTCATTCTCCATACAGTGGTCCCTTTTAAAACTAACTTGCTGACTTCATATTTCTGCAATTTTTCAGAAAGCTGTATTGATTCATATTATTGTCATTGTATATGATAGGAAGTAGAATGTTTCTTCCTGGAGGAAAAGAGATACAATTCAGCCTGTTCTCTGGTAACTGTATCTGTTTATGCGGTAGCTTTCTTCCCAAGCCACTGAGTCACATCTTCCCAGGCACGAAACTGAAAACTTCCTTTCTTTTATCAGGCAATTGACATTCTAATATAATATTTCATAACAATGTGCTTAAAGGACACATTTAAAATACATGAAATGTATATGAAATACAGTCATTGAGAACTGGTGGTATTACAAGCCTCAAGCTAACAGTCTGACTTCACAAAGAACCACAATAGCTGGTTCTTGTGAAGAAATAGAAATTCAGACTAAAACCCAGAATGAAGTCCTTCCCCCAGTTCTCATGCACCTGAGTTCCAATATTTTCTGGTGCTGCCCCAAGGAAGAATCTTTAACCAGATTACTTCAAAACTATTTTATATTTTCAAAACTATAAAAGTGTCCTATGTGAAATAAATAGCATTAAATTTAAAATATGATGACTTCATATCTGTTAGAGCTACCTTTTATGCCACTTTGAATTTGGAACAGTACCGAAAATTCCAGTAACTTCTTGAAAGGCTAACACCTCTCCATTCAGCATTTACTGTTATTTCTCAAATGTTTGTGAAACCCTTATCCTATCACACCTCATGGGATTTTCTTCAGTGAAACTAACTTTATGTTTCTATTATCCAGAACATGTGCACAGGTAGGAATTTTTTTAAACTGTAACAAAAACTGTTTCGGTATTGGTGGGCAGCATTGAAAATCTGTTCTCCAAATAAAGACGTGTACAACAATAAGAGACAAAGTATGGCTTCTCAGTTAAATACTAGCCTCAGCTAAGCACCACCAACCAACACCTTTTATTATTAGACTGCGCTAAAACAAGTCCTGCAGTGCTTTTTCCAACCACAAACCCCTGATGGTCCCAAGGAGTCCCAGCCCAGATGTCACGGTGGCTTTGCAGACTCAGGAACTATGTCCAACGGGGCTGAACTCCCTGTGGAAGTATCAGCCAAGAGACTTGTGAATTCTGGGAAGGCTTCTACTCTCGTGGGCGTTTTTTCACCTGTCTTGCTAAACAGATATGAAATTCAGCTTCTTCCTGAACAGACACAGACACACACACACATACACACTACATACAAAGCTAGCTTTATTGAAGGTTGAAGGATCATGAGAAAAGGTCACCTATTCATTGTGTTCAAAATGACATTGCATCTCAGAGGACACATGTCTGACCTTCAGTATTCTTTTGGCGCCCTCTCTTTACCCTTTTCCTACCATGGAGTTTTCTCAGTGACCCTTTGCCCATGTAGTGCCCAGCCTCCTCTCCTCATTCCCACACCCTGTGCTCCCTGGACCCCCCTCTGAGTTCTCCCCACTCTCCCCGAAGCTTTGCAGAGCAGTCGTCCTCTCTAGGTCCTGCTCCCGGATGTACTGGTGCAGTCAGTGGATGACAGCACCCCTGGGTGGCTTCTAAGTCCCTTAGAAGACAATGTGGTCACACATATCATTTCCCATCACACAGTTTATCTTTTTTCATGTCCGGGCTCTCTTCAAATCTTTTTTGGACATTCTACTACATCTTTTTAACTTTTTGTCGGAGATCACCAAATATTTATGCAGCTCATAAGGCTTCAGTCCCATGTTTTATTGATATAACAGGTAAACTTATTCACTCTCCTAGTGGAAATTTTAGAGATGGATACACTCTCTTTCACAATTTGAGTGCAGTTAACTTGCCTGCAGTAAGACTGACAATAATTTTCTCTTCTCTGTATGTCCTGATTGTTATTGCCATGAAGCTTCCCTAAGTCTGGAGGAGTAAGTGCAGTCTCATGTGGCTTTGAGCAGCTTAGAAAACTAGGTTCTCCCACATTTCAGGAGCAAAGCACCACCAGCCATCACTGCCTAACTCTGTTCTAGGTATTTACATCACTAAAGTCAATACGCAGTTAGTTTGAGAAATGTTCTAAATATATAAGTTTAATAACTATTTTAGAATATACCAGTGGCATTTCTAGCATCAAGTAGCTTTTTTAAAAAGTGGCCTCAATTTAATGGTTATTTTCCTTTTATACTAGAATTCATCCTTTCCACAATTTCAAATATCAGAATCAAATGTTACTGTCAAACACTTTTATGGAGTACTGTTAACTGGGCAAGAAAGTCCAAGAGACCAAAACCTATTATGCCCTGAGCAACATTTTCAAATTAATACGCATTTTGTTGTTCACGATGTTAGTTATATTAGCTACCTGGTTTCTGTAGACTGGATTGTTACGAGAGGCCTCTTTGAGAAGATAGCAGCTGAGCTGAGACAGAAAGAAGCTGTCATGGGAAGATCAGAGAAAGAGCGAGTGCAAAGGTCTGGAGGGGAAGATGGGCCTGGGATGTTCAAAGGAGAGAAAGAGGCCAGTGTGGCTGGGCGTAATGAGCAAGGGACAGTGTTCAAGAGGCTCTCGGACACAAGACAGCACAGGGCTTTGAAGCCAAGGTAAGAGGGCTGGCCTTGATGTGAAAGCAATGGGAAGTCATGGAACGATGCAAAGAGGGAAGTGGCATTGATGCGATTTCAGTTTTTAGAGGATCTGTTCAGCTGCTATGAAGAGAAAGGTTGTAGCAGGCAGGGAGAAAGCAGACCCACCAGGAGAGCACGGCCCTCGACCCGGTGAGAAATGATGGGGCGTGGCCTAGAGCGGGAGCGACTGGGGAGAGAGGAGGGCAGAATGGGGACGCGTACCACACACACGTGTGCGACGCAAAGCTGGTACCAAATGTGAACCAGAATGATAGCACACGCACGGCAACCACGAGTGTCCACTCGGTGGTTTTCGTTATGTGTATGGCAACGTGGGCTCCTTTAAATAACACCAGGTCCCTCTTGAGAACCGCTGCTTTGAAACATCACAGGAACAGGTGGGGAATCACTTTATAAGTTATATAAATGTCTAATCACTATGCCGTGCACTTGAAACTGATATAATATGAGATGTCAACCGTAAATGCGGAATAAAAACATTTAAATAAAATATTGCAGTACATATAGTGGGAGACACATTTCCTCCTTTACATCATTAGGCAAACTTTCCGAAGTACTGCATGAACTATCTTCATCTGTGGAATATTGGCGGTAATGCTTTTCCATCAGTGCCTGATGGGGCTTAATTAGTTAACGCTTACAGGGTGGTTAAAAACGAAAAACGAAAAGCGTTTAAATGTCAGCTGTGACTCTCTAACTGTACTGTGAGCGTTTAGCTCTGAAGCTGTCTGAGAATTCCTCTTCCAAGACAGCTGTTCTCGAGGGACGTTAAGAAGACAGAAACAGCCTTTTCTAACTTCAATCAAAAGTCCATCCATCACTTCACACCATTTTTCCAGAAGAGATATAGGAATCCGGTCCCACAGAGGAGTCCTTTATTATCTTCTAGAATGCATGTCAGAAGTTGATCTTTATGAGAGAAGTAAACACTCACAGATATCACACTACTCGATATCACAAGAGCACAGGCGGCAAACAGGGCCCGCGGGCCGAATCCAGCCCTCCGCCTTGTCTCCACCCGGCAGCGGTGTGGAGCACCTTGCCCCTAGATGAGGAGTAGTTACATTTACACAGTCCCAAAGTTACATTTGGCCCTTTGGAGGCAGCCGAGAGGCTGATGTGGCCCCCAGTGAAAATGCGTTTGACACCCCTGCACTAGAGAATAAATCGTTGCAGATAACCGCCTACCCTGAAGCATCAAATCAGTTTTATTTCAATTAATTTTGATGGAGATCTCTCTTAAATATGGAGCACACTTCTCTACATCACGTATGATGATGTGTCTCCACCTTCAGGGTCATGACTCAAAGAAGAGTCCCACGTTGTGACGTGACTGACACCTCCAGGAGCCTTCAGGTCGGTCGGCCTCTTGTGACCTTTCTACGGGTTTTCTCCCTTCCCTTTCCCACTCAAGGCATTCATTACCACAGATTGCAACTGTCACTATTTTTGCTCCAATAGTTCGTTATTTGTTGTGTAAATCTACTGCAGGCGGGACAGCTAGGTAACAAAGGTGTGAGAATTGTGTGTGGAATAGAGAGCAAGCAGATTCTAAGTGAGGGCACGAGGCAGCTCTGTTTTGAATTAAAGTGCTATGACGTTTATGATCCCTGCTAGGACCATGCAGATGACTTTAGAACACAAACGTTACTTTATAAATGAAAAATAAAACTAAGAAAGGATATATTTTAACCACCCACTCTCACGGTATTAGTTTCCCATTGCTTCTGAAACAAACTGCCATAAATGTAATGGTTTACAGTAACACAATTTTTTTACCCTACGGTTCTGGAGACCGGGAGTCCTAAAGCGGCAAGTCTGTTTTTTTCTGGAGGCCCAGACAATAATCTGTTGCCTTGCCTCTCCTGGCCTCTAGAAGATGCCACTCTCCTTGGCTCAAAGCTTCCTTCCCTCTCTTTTGTTTTTGAAAGATTGTATTTATTTATTTTTAGAGAGAGGGGAAGGAAGGGAAAAAGAGAAGAGGAACATCAATATGAGAGAAAAATATCAACCGTTTGCCTCTCGTACTCACCCTGACCAGGGACTGAACCCAAAACCCGGGCATCTGCCCTGCCTGGGAATCAAACCTGAGACCTTTCGCTTTGTGGGGAAATGTCCGACCCACTGAGCCATGCCCATCAGGACACTTCCTTCCATCTTTAAAGTCAGCACCACAGCATTCCCCAACCTCTCTCTGACTCCCGCACTCTGCTTTTATGATCTTCTCTCCTTCTCCAGCCCTTTTAGGGGAGCCAACCCGAGCCTATTAAGATAACTTAGGTTAATCTCCCATCTCAATGTCCTTAATTGACCCTCATCTACTCTGTAGGGTAACAACCACGGATTCTGGAAGGATTAGGATATGAACATCCTGGGGCAGGGCATTCTTCTGCCCACCACATTTGCCAAATGTGAACCAGTCTTTTCAGTATTTTGTTGGACATGGAAATAGGTAGCTGTATATATATAACCAATTTTCTTAGAGCTAAAGGACCTGACCATCTTAAGAAACCACTTAAGAAAGCCAGAAGCCTTATTTCTTTTGTGTTTAAATCAGGATGAAGAGATTCACTTAAACTTCCTGTCCGGACTACTCATTCACCTGCACTTTTAATTGGGGTGTAGGGATTTGGAGGGCTCTCTCACCTTTATTACACCCTTAGGGGTCCACTCAAAGAGGCTTGTTTACACACAAGTGCCACTGTGCTGCGTGGAGTGGATGCCAGAAGCACGCCTTTGACTGCATTGCAGATGGAGCTCCATGCTGGGCATGTGCTTCTTCCTTCAGGTGATCGGCTGGCGAAAGGCACCTGCCTCCTATTTTCAGAACATATCTGGTACCTGGTTACATCCATATCTGGTACAGAGACAGAATGTGTATATCTGTGTTCATAATCAGTGTTAATTGCATAATAAGATTCTTCTCAAAGTTGGGTCATTAAATAGAGAGATTCTTCAGTTGTACTCTGAAAAAGGACAAAAAATCAGTCACACAAATCTGGAACTACACTTTCATTCACTCACATATTTGGGTGCTGGGGAAATAGAGATGGACCAGAGAGATGAGATTTCTGCCCTCAGCAGGCTTCCAGTGTTGTTTGGAAAGGCAGGCTCAAGCCAGCAAAAAAAAAAAAAAAAAAAAAAAAATAGAACTGGGGATTGTCATTAGGACTATGAAATAAATGCACAGGGCTGGGGTTGCTGAGCAGCTGGACTTTGGGGACAGCCTCTCTAAGGCAGGACAGTTACTCAGCTCTGAAACCAGCAGGAAGCCCTGGGAAGACTTAGATGGACTGTTCCAAGTAGAGGAAGCCAATGCAAAGATCCTGAGGTAGAAGGGAGACAAGCACAATGAAACATGATCAAAGGTCAGTTTGGCTGGAGGAGAGCGGTGACTGGGTAACATAAGGGGCTACAGCACCCAGATGATCCGACAGGGTGTGTTGGTTTAGTTTTTTTGAAGATAAACTGCAAATCATCAAGGCCTGCTGTGTGGAGATTACACGGACAAGAGCAAGAGCAAAGCAGGAAGATCAGTTAGGTAACCAGCCTAGTCCCACCACCCAGCAAAACAACCGCTGGGGCCCATGGGGAGATGAACAGTACAGAGTCGAGATCACGTTTGAGGGTGGGATTGGCAGGAGATGCTCCTGGATGGAGTGTGGTAGGTAGGAAGACCGAAGAGCTCAGACGACTTCTTTTTGGCTTATATGACAGGGAGCCCCCCAAGGTCTGGAATTATTTATTAAAAATTATGTATTCTTATATGTATAAACTTCAGCCACCTTCAAAAAGTACTCTCCATTTGATGCAATACACCCATTGAGAGTTTTTTTCCACTGATCCAAACAGTTTTTGAACTTATTTTGATGCCTTTTAGTGCTTCTGCCATTTTTTGTTTCGCCTCTTCCACGTCAGCAAAATGTTTCCCTTTGAGGACTTTAATCATCCTGGGAAATAAAAAAAAGTCTCTCAGGGTGAGATTTGGTCAATAGGGAGGGTGGGGCACAGGGGTCATGCTGTTTTTGGTCAAAAACTTCTGAACACTCAGCTCAGTGTGGGCAGGTGTGCTTATAAATCACCCATCATGGAACGGGAAAAGCACTGAAAGAGTCTTCAAAAAGAATTCAGTGAAGCCAAACACAGCCTCTCACAGCAATGCCAGCTGGTACACTGATACAGATAGGTCTCTACAACACTCATCCAGCCGGGGAAGCCTGTACCACAAGGGGCCCTTTCTGCAGAAGATAATTCCACTGTGGGGTCTTACCTCATAAACTGGATGGATGATAGTGGCATTTATCAGGAAGAGGAAAATGAAAGGAAAAACAGGTTTGTGAGAGAAAATTAAGAATTCTCTTTTAGGTGTTTATTATAAGAAGCCTGTTAGACACGCAAGTTGACATGTGAACTAGGCTGTTGGACACAGTCTTCAGCACAGGAGGAAACCAACAACAAAATTGTATTCGCTACAGCACTGTCTCATGTGAGAAGTTTCTCCTTCCTCAGGCATTGCTCTTTGCCCTTAGGAGTTTCAAACAAACTTACCCTACTTCTTGGAGTGACTTGGGTTGCTACTTGATGAAGAAATATCTCTGAGTATTGAGAATCTATTTGGCTTTTGTACATCATAGTCCATAATGGTCACCAGAATTAATGAATACCCCAAACCATCACCGGGTACTTATGTATACAGTACTTAGAGTGTAACCAGAAGAAACTACCAAGTGTTTAGCATACAAAGGTACATAAGCGCTTATTGGTTTCCTTTAATTCCTTTCTTTTCTATCAGGTGGGAATGGTATGAGCAAGTACGACTCTAAATTTCTTTCAGGAAAGCAGCAACCAAAAAAAGCTACTTACCAGTTTCCAGACCTGTGCTTCTCAGCCCTTGATGTTCTGGAAATCACTGGGGTCGTGTGGAAATGCAGATTCCGATTCCGTCAGTTGCGCACGGTGCTTGAGATGCTGCATTTCTAACAAGCTCCCAGGCACTGCCAAAGCAGCCGCTTCCAAATCACACCTTGAATAACCAGAGATGTAGTATAACCAGCAAACTTACACAAAACAGACAAGATTAAGTGGACAGGGCTTTCGCAGCAAAGTATGACCATGGAGGCTACTGTCTCCTATGGCTTTCTACAGCTTACTTATTTATTCATTTATACAGGGGTGACTTGGTTTCCACAGCAACTGTTTTTATTTTATCACTTGACACTCCCTATTTATTGCCTTTATTGTTGCCTAATTATCATTTTATGCTCTCTGTATTATCTTCCAAACAAAATTGAAAGTGCCTGGAGGTCAAGGACAAAGCTGTGTAATTTTTTGTGTAATAGCCCCAACACTCAACTTCCATGTGTTGACGAATGGATTTTCATAGCAGGAACTATGGACCCAGTAGTATCAGTTGGACTCATACAGGGATGGCAACATGTTTTTGACTTGAAGCTGAAAGTGGAAATCAGATAGATTTATAGTTATATACTACATGCAATACAGAATGTGTAAGTCTGTGTTAAAAATCTGGGTTAATTGCATAACAGGACTGCTCTAAAAGTTGGGCAATTCGATACAGAAGTATTTCAGAGCACCTGGACCTCTAACAGCTTCTCAGTTATGAAAGGATTACATAAAACTGCACATGCATATTAAATATAAATTAAACAATAATCATGAATATTAGCCAAAAATAATAAAGTAAAACTGAGTAGCTGCTTGAAGTGAATCAGCAGGAACATTTTCATGATTGTTCTTTGTTGGGAACTGCCCTGCCTAGTTTGAGAAGCTGTAAACTGCCCCCCCCGCCCCCCCTGCGGCTAAGGCTGAGTGAGCCACCTTCAGACCATAAGCCACTGAGGACAAAGCTTATCTCCCTGGCAGGAGCACCGCTTCTGATCCTTTTTTCATAACCAATGCTTGATTGGTTAGTCAATGACAGGTATGATTCCCCAAGGGGGGAATGACTTAAGACAGGCACAGTCATGGGGAGGCCCCAGGGAAGGACTTGGGGGGGCTATAGCAAAAGGGGATGATGGGCCCTCACCCCTTGGCTTTGACATAACCTGAGTCCTCATTCTATCTGAGAGAAGTCTCCTAATCTCTTGGCTGCCTTACTTCCCCTGCCTGACTTAAGCCTGAAACAATGACAGAGGGTGATGTAGCCCTGTACTGGAAAGGGTGGGTTCCCTGGGTGATCGGCCTAAGAAAGAATATATGAAATCCTGTGAAAACTGCTTTGTTAAGAATGCTCTCAATTAAATGATAAAGGTCAGAGCAGGAAATGAGTTTGTTTCCCAAAGTTTTGTAGCCTTTAGCTAACAGACCCTGACTCAGAATAAGCCCTCAGAGTTCTTTGTATGTTATCTATTGTTTGATCATTACTGCCTAATAATGATTAATGAGCTTTACTTGTATTCCAGTGCAAAATAAACCCAATAAATGCCCATTGAGGAAAAGGCTCTTGGCCCTTTTCCTTTGAGAGATTGGCCACCTTTCCTCCCTAAGCAGATTCTGTTTTGGTAGATTTATTCTCATCCATGGTGGCCAGGGGGTCCTGTGGCCGGAGCGCCCCCCCCCACAGTTCTTTTAATTACTTGCTCCATAATCTGCAGGCTTCTCTGCTTCTCAGTGTGTATAGTAGCATAATGTTATATTTCCTTCTCCAGAACTCACTAACAGCTGACTGGTTTGTGCAGTGTAGTGTGGCAGTGAAGGGAACATTTCTTTGTGTAGGAAAACAGTCTATGTTTGGTTGCCACTTGGACTTCAGTACTGACTTACATACTGCAGTTAATAAGAAGACCATAGTCTGAAGGACCGCCAGCTCTCCAGGGGCCTTCGCTTTCCTCCTGTGCTCACTGGGAGGGAGTTCTGGGCACAGAAACCAGAGCAAGGACACTCGAGAACCCCAAGATGGCAGCTCTGATCTCTGTCACAGTGTCCCAGAGATGCTGCTGCAAGCAGTGGCTCTGTCCCAACAACAGCTGAGAGGAAAAGTACGCACAGCTAACTTCTAATTTTTCAGAAGTGTCCATTACACAGCCAGTCATTCTTTAATAAATACTTTTAAAGCATTTTTTTCTGGTTAAGTGCTGCACTTGGCTCTAGATAAAAATACAGGGACAGATCTCTCTCTTTAGGAGCTCATAATTCACAAAAATGTAGCTCGGAGCAGGCTGGACCTTCATTTGGCTCATTCAAACTGTATCCTCCAATCCAAGTGAGTGCTTGCTTGGCCTATAATAAGTCTTCAGAAATATTTATTAAGTGGAGGGATGGATGGAAGGAGGGGTTTAGTGGAAGCATGGATACATAAATGATTAAATTCTGGTTAATGGAGTACTTTATATTAAATTATACCAAAGCTTCAATTTATAGAGTCTTCACCAAGCCATGTGCCAGGTACTGTCCTGTGCACTCTGTACATAAACTATTTTAATCCTAAGGATCACCTCTGAGCAGCTGCTGAGTCTCACGGCATTGCGCCTGTGATGAGATGTGGCGAGGAGAGGTCATACACGGGGCTGGAGCTCGCACTGTGTTAACAGCAAAGTGAGAACTCAGGTTAGGGCTGCTGACTCTAGAACTTTTTACCATGGCTCTAGACTGGTTTCTGTTCCAACTCTTGAAATAGCCAAGAGTTTCCAAATTGTGGTGCAAATATAAAAAGGAAAAAGGCAAAATCGTGAGTGATTTTTTGCCATGGGACATACTAAATATGATGGCAAGAGCAATCTTTATCCTGTAATTAAATTGCTGTGCTTTCCTCATGGTTTTCCTACAGTCCAAGCCAAAGGAAGAAGAAGGGAAAAGACCTGAGCTGACTCATCCATTGGTTGGAAGAGTCAAGATGCCAAAGCTGTCCTTGGGGAAAATGCCAGTTTTCATCAATAAGCCAAAGTCAGATGGTACCCCTTCAAGACATGCTACAGTGGAAAACTTCACCACCGTCAATTTTTGGTATCAAGGATGGTGATAAAAAAAAAACCAAGATTTTTAACAAAGGCTAATTTCTTAGTGCAATAATTTCCAAATATTGCAACATACAATTCAATATTAAATGCCAAAGGAAGCAAGTATGCACACCACAAAAATCTGAAGTAATCACAGACTTTAAATTCCGAGGACTTCCTCTTCAGATTACTTACCCACCACCTAGCTTGGAGGGTGCTTGTAGAGCTGTGGGTGTGTTGTGGAGTATCTGCATGGAGAGCAGAACTCAGGACACTGAACGGTCAGAGAACCCCCAGGATGCTGAGCATCTCGGATGGCAGGAAGATGGAAGCTTACAGAGAGAGGTGGCATGACATCCAAAAAAAATGTCACCTCTCTTAAACTTGTGCTAAGGATTAACCCCCATATTTTAAAATCCTTTTTCTCTACACTTCTAAACACATGCTAAGGCATTACCTGCATTCTGTTCAACTCCACAGATTCCCCTCCTAGAGTGAAATGAGAAACCTTGAGGAGTGTGTATATCGACACTGTATAATCGGCTGAGACCATCAGTGCCACAAAAAGAGTGCAAAGCCTTGGTCCTCACAGTCATTCCCAGATCAGCAGCACATGCTAGCCCAGGGTCTGCAAGTGTTTTCTGTGAAGAGCAGGAGAGTAAATATTTTAAGCTTTCTGAGCCGAGAGGCAATATTGAGGATATTTCGTGGATACTTATATCGCAAGGGTGGAAATCAAAATTCCACAGTCATATTGATGAAATTCAAACTATAGTAGTATAATTTTCTTTAATACAGACCTACTAATGAGAAGAATGTAATTCTTTATGTTAGGACAGCATTCTACTTAATTGGGACTCACAGTGTTTCCTGTCATGCAATCAATTGCAAAGGTTCTTCTGCGGGAACAATTACTAGCTTCAGGCCTTACAAAAACAGGTGACAACACAGATGTGGCCCTCAGGCTAGACCTGGAAAATTGTTAGAAATGCAAATGATAAGGTTCCACTCCAGACCTCCTCAGTTAGAAAATCTGGAGGTGGGGCCAATATCCTGTGTGTTAGCAAGCCCTCTAGGTAATTCTGATGCACCTAAAGTTTAAGAACCACGGGTCTAAGTAAATGTTGAAGGGCCACAGTTTGCTCTGCCCATGCTGTTATCACCATGGTAATGGCCATCTCTCAGTCCTAGCCTTCAACTCTACCTTCTCATCTTCATTATTTTAATGAGATTGCATATATATATATTATAGTTTTTAAATATATTTTATTGTTGCTCTATTACAGTTGTCCCAGTTTTTCCCTGTTTGTCCTCCTCCACCCACTGCCCTCCACAGTCAGTCCCCAACTGTTGTCCACACCCATGGGTCACTCATACATGTTCTTTGACTAGTCCTTTCCTCTTCTTTCTGCTATTATCCCCCTCTTCCCTGCCCTCTGGTCTCTGTCAGACTGTTCCATGTTTCCATGCCTGCGGTTCTATTTTGCTCATTTGTTTTTGTTCATTAGGTTCCAGTTACAGGTGAGATGATGTAGTATTTGTCTCTTACTGCCTGGCTGATTTCAGTTAGCAGTTCCATCCATGCTCCTGGGAAAGGTAGGAGTTTCCTTCTGCTGCTTAGTAAATGTACAGTTTTTTGATCCACTCATTTACTGATGGGCACTTAGGCTGCTTCCAGCACTTGGGTGTTGTAAATAATGCTGATACGAACATTGAGGTACATAGGTTCTTTTGGGTTGGAGTTTCAGGGTTCTTAGGGTATAATTCCAGCAGTGGAATTGCTGGGTCAAAAGGCAATTCCATTTTTAGTTTTTTGAAGAAATTCCATATCGTTGTCCACAGTGGCCACACCAGTCTGCATTCCCACCAACAGTGCACTATGGTCCCCTTTCCGGCACATCCTTATCAGCACTTGTTATTTGTTTATTTGTTAATGATAGCCATTCTGACAGGTGTGAGGTGATATCTTACTGAGGTTTTAATTTGCATCTCTCTGATGGCTAGTGATGTTAAGCATCCTTTCATATGTCTATTGGCCCTCCATATGTCCTCCTTGGAGAAGTGTCTGTTCAGGTCCTTTGCCCATATTTTAATAGGATTTTTTATCTCCCTGGTGTTGAGTCATATGAGTTCTTTATCTATTTTGGAGATTAAACCCTTGTCTACTATGACATTGGGAAATATGCTCTCCCATACAATCAGTTCCCTTTTCATTTTGATGATGGTTTCTTTACCAGTGAAGAAGCTACTTTGATGTAGTCCCACTCATTTACTTTTTTCCTTTATCTCCCTTGCTCTAGGAGATTATTAGGAAAATATTGCTGCATGGAATATCTGAAATATTACTGTCTGTGATTTCCTCTTGGACTTTTATGGTGTCAGAACTTACATTTTTAAGTCTTTTATCCATCATGAATTTATTCTGGTGTATGGTATAAGTTGGTGGTCTGGTTTCTTTCTTTTTCTTTTTATTTTTTTGCATTTTAGCTGTTTAGATCTCCTAACACCGTTTATTGAAGAGGCTGTTTTCACTCCATTTTTGCTCCTGCCTCCTTTGTTAAATACTAATTGACCATAGAGACATGGGTTTATTCCTGGGCTCTCTATTCTGTTCCATCGATCCATGTGTCTATTCTTATGCCAGTACCAGACTGTTTTGATTATAGTGCCTTATAGTATAGTTTGATATCTGGTAGTGTGATCTCTACTACTTTGTTCTTCTTTCTCAAAATTGCTGTGGCTATTCAGAGTTATTTTTTGTTCCATATGCATTTTTCAAATATTTGTACTAGATTCTGTGAAATATGCCATTAGTATTTTAATAGGGATTGTTTTGATCCTTAGAATTCTTTGGGTAGTATGGACATTTTAATGATATTAATTATTCCAATCTGTGAACATGGTATATGCTTCTATTTATCTGTATCTTCCTCAGTTTCTTTCTTCAGTGTTGTGTAGTTTTCTGAGTACAAATCTTTTACCTCCTTGGTTAAGTTCATTTCTAGGTACTTTATTTTTCTTGTTGCTGTGGTAAATGGAATTTTTTCCTAGTTTCTGTTTCTGATATTTCATTGTTGGTATATAAAATGCCTTTGATTTCTGAATATTGACTTTGTAACCTGCTATTTTGCCAAATTCACTTATTAGGTCAACTGGTTTTTTGGTGTAGACTATAGCCTTCTCTATGTACACTATCATGTCAGCTGCAAACAGTGACAGTCTTACTTCCTCCTTTCCAATTTAGATGCCTCTTATTTATTTTTCTTGTATGATCACTGTGTCTAGGACTTCCAGTACTATATTGAATAGAAATGGCAAAAGTAGGCACCCTTGGCTTGTTCCTGATCTTAAAAAGAAAGCTTTATTTATTTTTTATTGATTATGATGTTAGCTGTCAGTTTCTCATGGATGGCCTTTATTATATTAAGGTATGCTCCCTCTATTCCCACTTTGCTGAGTATTTTTATTATAAATGGGTGTTGTACTATATGAAGTGTTTTTTCAGCGTCTGTTGATATGATCATGTGATCTTCGTTTTTCATTTGATTTATGAGGTGTATTACATTTATTGATTTGTGAATATTGTACAAGCCTTGTCTCCCTGAAATGAATCTCACTTGATCACAGTATATGAGCTTTTTGATGTATTGCTGGATCCAGGTTGCCAATATTTTGTTGAGAATTTTAGCATCTATGTTCGTAGGAGATACTGGCACATAGTTTTCTTTCTTTGTTGTGTCTTTACATGGTTTTGGAATTAGGGTAATACTGGTCTCATAAATAGAGTTTGGAAGTCTTTCCTCCTTTTGAATTTTTTGGAATAGTTTGAAAAAGATAAGAGTTAGTTGTTCTTTAAAGGTTTGGTAAAATTCTCCTGTGAAGCTGTCCAACCCAGGGCTTTTGTGTGCAAGGAGTTTTTTTTTTTATTATTATTACTGCTTCAATTTCACTAGTTGTCAGTTTATTCAGGCTTTCTGCTTCTTCTTGATTCAGTTTTGGAAGCTTGTATATTTCTAGAAATTTGTCCATTTTGCCCAGGTTGTCCAATTGGCATCTGGTTTTTCATGTTAATTTCTTACAATGCTTTGTACTTCTGAGATATTGATTGTAATTTCTTCTCTTTCATTTCTGATTTTATTTATTTGGATCCTCTCTCTTCTTTTCTTGAAGAGTCTGGTTAAAGACTTGTCAATTTCGTTTATCTTTTCAAAGAACCAACTCCTGGATTTATTGATCCTTTGAATTGTGTTTTTAGTCTCTATATCATTTAATTCTGCTCTGATGTTGATTACTGTGTATATATTTTATTTAACAATAAGCTTTTAGGTATTAAGCAATTCATTTAAGAAATATGGTGTACTCATGTCAGCTCCCAGATTTTGAAGCAGAGAAGTGGGAATTCCCAAGAAAAAGCCCAAGTCGGTGAGGAGAAAGCACTCACACCCAAGACAGGATAAACAAGGATTCTCAAGTGGTAGCTCTAGAGATTGGAAATGAAACTTGTGCCTTTTCACCTTTTCCATTGCTACCTCTGAGCTACCTCTGGACAATAAAAACTGAATAGAGCTATAATAAAGGTGCTGTTTCCTGATTGAATTGGTTGTCTCAGTGCTGTAATCATTTCACATAGTGTGTAAATAATATTTTTGTAACAAACTCGGAGGAAAGAAATATAGAGACTGTCTCCTGGGTGAATTCTCACTCTGATTTATCTTTTTCTCTCTAAAATGTTGCCTCAATTTCTCCACGTGTACAATGGAAATAATGAATCAAACCCCACTGACAGGGTGGTCTTGACAATAAACTTAGTGAAGGTCTCTGCAGTTGACAAATGCTGAGAATTATCATTAGATATTATTGTCCCAACACACTGACAAGATGATGTCTACGCTGCCAAAAAGAGTCCAGAGAACCCATTAATCATGCAATATCTCACCTGTGGCTAAACAGACTGTTTTATTGTCATCTGGCACCTTTTAGGCATAGTAAATTTTTTTGCTATAAATTCAGATAGGTCTTTATACCCAGGATGCCTCTGAAAACTTTTAAAATAGGTTCCTCGGTCGATTCCCAGTCAGGGCACATATCTGGGTTGCAGGCCAGGTCCCCAGTAGGGGAAACATGAGAAGCAACCACACATTGATGTTTCTATCCCACTCTTTCTCCTTCCCTTCCCCTCTCTCTAAAAATAAATAAATAAAATATGTAAAATATAAATAAATAAAATAGGTTCCTTGGCAGCTGACCCCATCTGTACCCACCATCTGAAATTCAGATCAGTTGAATCACTTTGGAAATTAGACGACAAAAAAAGGAGGAGAGATGTTGTGCCCAGGAGGGCCATGGAGAATGTTCTAGGAGCGGTAGTGCGGACGTGTCCGATTGTCAGTTAACTGACCAAACGAGCTGGAGGACACCTAAGAAGGCACGAAGAGCTAGACCTAGGTGGATAAAAGGCGAGATTTTAAATTTCCTGTTTTGGCATTACAGATTAAACCAGGAAGGCTATAGATGTTAGAGGAGAACCATGTGTTCTTCTACTTTTAAATTTTCACCTAAGACAAGCAAGGAACTCAATGTATTCTGCCCCCTGAACCTTATTCAAGCTTTAGCTTCAGTGTAATAGTTGCA